CAATTCAAGGTTTGTGTCTGATCTTTCAATTGGACACTGTTGGTTACTTCTTTTTTCAAATAATATTAACTTTCACATTCTTTTTGAAATAGCCTTCCACAATTTAAGGATAAGAATTGGTGGCTCTTTGCAAGACCAAGTATTATATGATGTCGAAAGCTTGAAATTCCCTTGCCATCCATTTCAAAAGATAAGCTCAGGGTTATTTGGTTTTTCAAAGGGATGTTTACACATGAATAGGTGGGATGAGCTAAACTATTTATTCTCCAAGACAGGGTAAGGTTTGTTCATTTTGCATCCCTATAATCTTTACCAGTTTTCTTATGTATATTTCTATAAAGAAAATTGTTATCTTTTCTGAATTATATTTTAGGGAAATTTTGATTAATTCAGTTCGCTAAAAAATCACTCTTCTATCCATAATCTGGATCGGACTTCATAGAACTTCCTATACTGAAAGTGAAACTATAATGAGCTAGGGAGAGAATAGAAATATGAGTTTTATTATATGGTTTTGCACCTTACCATTCTCTAATATTTTATAATTTCAGAGCCATTGTAACATTTGGCCTGAATGCACTTTATGGGAGGCACAAGATCGGTAGAATTCAGTGGGGAGGAAATTGGGACTACAGTAACGCTCGTGATTTTATGAAGTATACCATTTCAAAGGGATATGTGATGGATTCGTGGGAATTTGGTATGTACAATAAACTGTCTGCACTGTTTTTATCAACTTCGTTACTCTGAGCTAAGTTAACAACATCTTGCCACTGCAGGTAATGAATTGAGTGGAAGTGGTGTCGGTGCAAGTGTTGCTGCTGACCAGTACGGGAAAGACTTGATCCAACTTAAGAACATCATTGACGAGTTGTACCAAGATTCCAACTCAAAACCATCTCTTGTAGCACCTGGAGGATTTTATGAGCAGGATTGGTATGCAAAACTTCTTCAGGTTTCAGGATCAAATGTAGTCAATATCGTCACCCATCATATGTATAACTTGGGTCCAGGTGTGCTAATACGGTATCAACTTCTAGTTTTACTTCCTCTATTTTCACACATCCTATGATAAACGGCCAGCTTATTTGAAATTGAATTTGGAAGGATGGATGACATAGTGATAAATTTTTAGAATATTCACCTTGTTTGTGTTGCCGGTGGGAAAGTTACTGAGCTGTAATTAAGTTTAGAATCCTGCTTACATATCCTCTCTGAACTCATGAAACTTAGCTACTGCCAATATGAGGAGGAAGGTTTAGGCCTGTCCTTGTTGTCTAGATTACTCTAATAATTGTAAGCTTATTTTTCTATCAACAAATGAACTAGTGGAGGGCATCTTGAAAATCCTTGATGAATATATGTAGGCTCCATTTTCAAGTACTCCTTTTGACCTTTTATAGGGGGCTAAACACTTGCCAGTGCTATTTTAATATCTTCTAAAATTTTTACATTTACATCTTATTCTCTGCACTCTAGGTGTTGATCCCAATCTAGTGAGTAAGATATTGAATCCTAATTACTTGAGCAAAGCATCAGAAACATTCAGCAAACTTGATCAAACCATCCAAACATATGGTCCATGGGCTTCAGCGTGGGTAGGCGAATCAGGTGGGGCCTACAACAGCGGTGGTCATCATGTATCTAACACATTCGTCAACAGTTTTTGGTAATTTTTTGTGAAACTCAACTAGTTTTTACGACCTGAGTTTCATTAATCATTTGCCTGAAGAATAAGAGTCTCAAAGTTATGTTTGTTTCTTGTGCTTGATATATCGTTTACGCTTAGGTACTTGGATCAGTTGGGTATGGCATCCAAGTACAGAACAAAGGTCTACTGCAGACAATCATTAATTGGTGGAAATTATGGTCTCCTAAACACTGGCACATTTGTGCCGAATCCAGATTTTTACAGGCAAGAACATATAAATATTGGAATTCTCTCTTTTGTCTTGGGAAGTGGTGGAGGGATTCTGTCGAAATTATTTTCTTTGTTTTTCACTTTCAGCCTCATCAAATTCTGAAACGTCTGTTTTCCTGAACAGTGCACTTCTATGGCATCGGCTTATGGGAACGGGTGTTCTTGCTGTCGAGAGCGATGCATCTTCCTTTTTGCGCTCTTATGCTCATTGCTCGAAAGGAAGAGTAAGACTTTGCAACTTTTGCTATGGTTTCCAGTAATTTGAATTAGAACTGGAAACAAAAAGTGGGAATTTGTGCACTAGTTGAAGTCTTGTGAGCTCATATCTCCAGAGACATACCTGAGTTCTCGAACGTATAATTGGTCTAACCCGTGGACAGCATGGCTTGTTCAGTTTCAACAATCCTTTCAAAATCATTGTAGATACCCAACATTCTGCAACTACATACTATCCTAAAGAATTCAAGCTTGTAGTCGATCGTCTTTAAGTATGCATTATTTTGCGAAAAATATGAAGAAGCATCCTCATCCCACCTAGAGCTGTCTCTGGATAGATAAACTTACTGTCTGTAGCTTTTGCCAAGCTGTTTTTTGCCAAGCTGTTTTTTGCACCATGATTGTTCCTTTAATTAAAGTTGTGCTATGGTTGAGTGCTCACTGCTCAGTTAGAGAGATTGATGCATCTTAGAGAAGATTTTGTATCCATTTCAGCTTTCGATTTAAGTCGTTTTGCTCCATGTCGACTTGTTGCAGGCTGGCATAACTGCACTGTTTATCAATTTAAGCAACCAGACACGTTTCATAGTAGGCGTTCGGAACAGCTTAACTATCCAAGTGAAGAAAATCCGTGGAGGAAGCTCTTTCATGGAAGGCATCAAGAAAACAGTAAGTTGGGTTGGAAACAAAGCATCAGATTTGTCCATATCAAGAGAGGAATATCACTTGACTCCAAAAGATGGCTACCTTCAAAGCCAAACCATGGTTCTAAATGGGGTTCCATTAGAGCTAACTGAAGATGGAGAAATTCCACAACTAAACCCTGTCTTTAATAATGTCAATTCTCCAATTCTTATAGCTCCATTGTCCATTGCATTCATAGTGTTCCCAAATTTTGAAGCTCCAACCTGCCAATGATCTGTTTTCAAACAGCAGTAAAGGCTTCATTTCTCTTTTATTTGTTGCACAGTTTTCAAGTTTGTATTATCAAGTTTTAAGTTGATGCATGATATATGCCAATGTAAATGCCTCTTTATTTGCWATGGGAAAAAAGGGCGACTTCGGTTTGGTCGGTTGATGCAGAGCTCAAAATATTTTTAGTTTTCGATAGACCAAAATCAAATAGTCCACTTTCAGTGTACAAAACCAAAATCAACCGACCAATGTTTACCTCTAACTAAACTAAATTAAAATGGTCACTCTTTAGAAAGTAAAATAAGTACAATGATTTAAATTAATTAAAGTTATCATTAAAGTTGAAAATAAACGAGGAAAACAAATACTTTAAAATATATAATGGACCAAAATAATATTTTTTTTACCTGATAATTAATTTACACAGCAGCTCTACGAGAAGGGTTTTGCTCTGCCTCTGCAGATTTGATAATTGATATTTATAGTAAACCAAAACCCACACCGAAGAAATTTTCCACCATACCCAACAAAACCAAAAATTTCGGCGTTTTTCATCCTTTTGTTGATTTCTTCTCTATTCGTCGTATCTTCCGGCGGAGATGGCAACCCCGTCGAGGTCTGAAATCCTCTCGCTGTTCCGTTCTCTACTGCGCACGGCGCGTCAATTCTCCGATTACAACATCAGAGAATACACCAAACGCCGCGCCATTGATGCCTTCCGAGAAAATCGGAGTCTTTCCGATCCTTCATCGATCTCTTCCGCCTACGCCGGCGGCAAAGCTCAGCTCGAGGTTGCGAAGAGGCAGGCCCTTGTTTACTCTCTTTACGCCCCCAAGGTCAAGAGTATCATGGATGTTAAGCTCTGATTTCCATTTTTTTCCGTCTCTCATGGTGCTTTCTGGTAGTCTTTCGCATTCTATGAATTTGTAGTTATTTGAGAATTTTTTTTTTGTTGGAATTGAACTGTAAATTAGCACTCTGTTATCGACAATGAGCAAAGTTTTTCCCATCGTATTCTGGAGTTATCTCGCGAGCTTAATTTCTGTAATCTATGTTTAGCAAGTATTCTTAGCAGCACAACCTGTCTCTCTATACCGCAATATGCTTGGCAAAAGGAAAATTAGGGATTTTTGCTTCCAATTTATCAAGTCTGAGTCCTATTATAAATACCAAAGGTAACAGTAACGAGAGGTACACGCGATTTTACGCCTGAGTCCTATTACGATGGATTTATGAATTTTCTTTTCTGGGTTTCCAAATTTTGGTGCTTCTGAAGATCGTCAAATGTGAAATTCCGTTTGATGTCAAAGATTACCAGATAATATTAGAATGAAAGCGAAGAGTGCCAATGGGTGAAGTTCTTAATTTGAGATTGAACACTATCCAATGCTCACAGAACAGGAATTTCTGTAGAATTAGGGGGCGACCCTGTTATTTGATGAAGCGATAATCGTATGTTTTTTAACATCTTAACTCATAAAAAATAGGTTGCTTCGAGTTTCTTGCATCTTCTATCGATCTCTTTGAAGACACTCACGAGTCACGATTCATCCATATTTGACCCATCTCTGGCAACTTATTTGACTTGTTTTTAGCTCATATCAGCTTGAAATCGGATACGGAAAATACTTATTTGCAAAAACTTTTTACTTCAGTTTGACAGAAGAGCTTGCAACCAGTTGTTACTAAAGATTGCATTGCGCATCCTTGTTCATTTCATGTTCATCAGGACTAAGATCTTTGAAAGACCATGTGTTCGAAAATGCACTGTTCTAATTGCATTGTCAAACTAATTGATTGAATGGATTCATTCATATGTGTTCGTTTGTATACTTTGAATTAGTGTAGTTCCTTTGTAGTACTAGCAAGCATTGTCAAACTAATTGATTGAATGGATTCATTCATATGTGTTCGTTTGTATACTTTGAATCAGTGTAGTTTCTTTGTAGTACTAGCAAACAGTGATCCGAATAAAATGTGTCGCCAAGACAAGGGACAGAATATCTATTTATGGCAGCAAAAAGAGTACAAAACCATGAAAATGGATACAAAAAGAGAGGTGAGAGATGCAAATAAGCATCAACGGACCAATTGCAAACGTGAAGGCCTTCAACTCTATCTTCCAAGCAAACGACGACCCCGTCGGTTGGCATCTTGAACTCGGTCATTGAGCACCTCGACGTCAACAGAAGCATGATCCAGAGCATGGTTCTGCCTGTAACGAGCACCAGAGTCACCTCAGTTTCTACTGTACGTCTTGTCTTTTATCTTTTGTCTTTCACTCACAAGAACAGGCACACAACTATTGCTGGAATTTAGAAGAGAATTGAAATAGAACTAACCTGTCAGTTTCACACCCCATGTCAACAGCCATTTCCTTGAGCTCTCCCAAAATATTGCTCATGTCAGATAGTGCATCATCTTGTTTCACCTTTTCTACCTGTTTTATGTACGATTTTGAGAACATGATGAATGATTTAACACAAACTGCATTTTGGACGATAATATGCTACGCGTATGCTACAGATTTGTGCAAGAAGTAAGGAATGACTATAACCAAAAAACTCTGGAAAGAATGAAGAAGACAAAAGAAATAGTTCAAAATGTTTGTTGAGATGTTAATCTTTCTTTTCAAGTAATTACTGACAGAAAATACAAACCTCAACTTTTTGAATTGCATTGGTAGGTTCAGAAAATGCAGCTTTTGTATTTGTCCGTCCCTTATGAGTRAGTCCTAACTTTTCCTTCTGCTCCAAGTGGTTGCCCTTTCTTCTCACTAAATCATCTGCAAAATACCCATAAGCAGATCAGTTTCACAGAATTAAAACAAATACCCATCTAACTCTGAATCTCAAGAGAAGCAGAAATAAAGAAAGAAAGAAACTAACCTGAGGTTATAATAGGTCCGGATATCGGCCGAGTTTTCTTTGGCTTCCAAGTCTTGGAGAACATTCCCCCTAGATTTCCCAGCAGTTTCTCTCCCTGGTATTCATAGAAAAGAAAAAATCACTTCAAAAACAAAGTCATGGGGGATAATTTGACAGCTAAATCATCATACAAATAAAGAAATGATAGAGGTTAGACTTAAACAGGAAAAGTTAAAGTTACAGCCAGTAATTTCTAGACCATGAAACACGGAGATCGAATCCTTGGTGTTTCATCGAGTCCTCCCGAGACACGTGAACGAATTGGAGATTGAACATACCCGACTGAGATCATAATCAATGTCAGCAGCAACCATATGAGTCCTGGTAATTTGCTCACCCTGCTGATGCAAGGTCACCAAAGTTTGGGTAGCATTGTCCCTTATCTCTTCAGCAATCTTTAGACAGCCATTCACTGCTTTTGTGGTCTCCTCAGCCTTATAAACAGCATAATTCTCCAGCTCCTGCACTGATTGGTTTTCTACTCCTCCCGAGTCACGGAAATCGTTCTTGTACTTGTTCCTTTCTGACCAAGTTAACGAACTCGAAGATGAGGGGGCATGTTCATGATCATCACCAAAAGGATTGGAGCTAAAGTTCTGTGTCATTAATGAAGGGTCTGATGAAGTCCTTTGAGAAGAAACCTGGTTTTGCTTAGCTTTAAAATCATCATCAGAATCAAACGGGTTTGGATTTGGGGTAGAACTATGCTTCCCTATCTTAAAATGAGCCTTCCTCGAACCAAACATTTTTCGAGGGCTAGAATGCAAAATCGGCTTTAATGTAAATGGGACAAAGTAATCCTACGGATTAAAAGTTTTTCCTGGAAAAACAAGACAGCGAGATCAAAAATCAGAACCCAATTCTAGATGTGATAAGATTTAGGATGTAATAAAAGAACAGTTGATGGCACGATCAAAAACTAAAGGGGACAACAAGATAATTTACAAAATCATGAAAAGGCGGTGAAGAAGGAAGTTGATGATCAAAACCCAGATACAAAAATCCAAGAAAAGAAAACTCGAGTACCTTGACTATTCCACAGACGAAGAGAACCGAAGCAATTTCACTAACCCGAACTCAGGAAACTGCAAAAATCAGAACCCAATTCTAGATTTTAAAGGGCGCAATAGAGAGCGATGGGTTGGCACTAAATAAACGACTTGGGCAACGAGAAAATAAATTAAGAAACCGCGTTTGAGAAAATTCTTGAAAGAGGAAACTAGCACGAAGAAGTGGAACAATGAAGACGCTATCAAAAAATCTTACCCCTTTAACCGCTCGATTGACCTTTTGTCTTCCTTTAGATGGACTTATGCAATCTGCTTCCTGCGTCTTGCGAGCTCCAGATGTAAAAATCTTCTGCAGCGATTAAAATGGAAGTCAAAGTTCTAGTGCATAAATTGGTCAAAAATTTATAAACTAAGAAAACAGTTCTTTTGGCGTAGCTCCTTTTCTTTGAAAAATACTTTTCATCGCAAAGAAAGGTTAAAAAAATCAGCAAATAGTGTGGATGGATTAGGTCAAAAATTAGATTGCAATGCATAATCTCGGTGCGGAAATCGACTTTGATTGCCTTTGAAACACAATTGCTTCACTTCAAATGCTCGGAAGGTTCCACAGTTGCAGTTTCCCAAACCAACAGCTGTGAGAAATTTTGAAATGTCTGCTCCCTTTTTGTGTCCCTTCCAACAGAAATACGATACGATCAATATAAAAATCTTTAAAAAAAATGATAAAATTTGTACGGACAGCCGTATGATTGGGCAAAATATGCACGTCGTTTTTTTTACTATTACTTGTACAAAGTTTTTTTTAACCGTAGAAAAGTATATTTTAAATTAAAGAAACCTCGTTTTCATATACATTAAATTAATGACTAGCGTCATTAAATTTCCCTAGATAATATTAATTGGACACTAAAATTTGTTGGTTGGGGAAGATGAGTTCATACTTATTACTATTTTAAAAGTCGAGTTCATATTTATTACTATTTCAAAAGTCGGTGGTTTGTTTTCTATTCCTACCATTGTTAAACTAAAAAATATAATTATTATATCATATTCCTACAATTGTTGAATTAGGTTAAAACATGATGCACCCAATATGTTTTGTAACCGAATTATTGTTATCAAAGCCTGGTTAGATAGTAATTCTATTATTAACTTTTAAATTTTTGATAATAAATTTGTCTTTTAATGTTTTTTTAATTATTTTCAAAAGCTAAGTTCATGAAAACTCTTTAAATAAATAAACTTTGAWTTCAACAGTTGAGGGCATTTTGTATGTTGGCATCAAACTTTTATAAAGTAAATATCCATTCACTTCATTCTGCTTCATCAAATTTTTACAACTCTCACAAGACTTGAGAGTCAGACTCACCGCCAGTTTTCCTTTCTCCACACTGAGTTGATTTTGAAGAACAAGATGAGTAGAGAATAGAGATAGATGTGTGGGTACATGGAAATGAGTGCATACAAAACTTCCCATATTAAAAATGAACAAACTTAGCACCTGGATCCAGATACATGTATATATACATCCAAAAAAGGAAAAAAGAAAAAGGAAAAAAAAAAAAAAAAACTGTGCAAAGGAAATCTACTTTAGAATCCTGATTACAGCAACAATGAACAACCACCTATAGCACAAATCCACTAATGGAATCTAATCTACTATCTTTCTGTATCATCTTCTACAGATGCATGTGTGCTTCCTCCGAAAGAAGCTAAATTAGCTGAATTCTGAGTAGTCGGTACAAAATTGGGGATCCAAATACAGCATCTGGGAAAAACCAAGAGGGTTTTGCAGTAAAATTCAGCAGTCATGTTCCAGAGGTTCTCACAAAGTAAGCTACTTCATTGGAATTGATGAGCATGAGGAAGAAGATGAGAGAGAGGTAGGTCAAAAGAATGGTTTCCACAAATGAGTATAATTGATCTATTCTTAACCAGTACTAATATGTCTGGAAACCCAATTGATGACGTTATTTAAAGAACAAAGTGCAAAGATACAATATCTCTTCATTTTATCCTATTCCCAGAAATACTGGCATGATAACATAAACCGGTAGCAGAACCAACTCAGTTGTCATGATTATACCCAATATAGAAGGAATGGAAGCAATGCAAACCTCTGATTGACATTCTTCCTCGAGCAGCTTTTGATTCATGCTCCAACCACTATATTTCGTGCATATGCCGTCTTGCAACAGCAAATGATTTACTTTGTTCTTTTGAAACCTAAAAAAGAAGCTATTAATAGAAAAATATATAGATATGATGCTTTGAATGGGATATAAGAACTCCACATCCAGGCATAATACCTGTGCCTCCAACTGTGCAATTCTCTGTAAAGATGCCTGTTCAATGCAAGCCCGGCGCTTGCGCTCTTCTTCAAGCAAACCAGTAATTTGGTACCTTAGCTCAGCCATTTCTTGAGCAAGATCCTCTGCTTCGTCTTTTGCTTTCAACTTCTCATCTCTTAACTCCTCCTGTCAACAACTAGAATGTTAAAACATGGAGGCTTCAAACAAATATAATCCTATTGCCTAGAAAAAAGAACTAACCGACTGGAACAATTGGATTCTAAAAACCACTTAAAATGAAGGAAACCAATTGGAGTCTCAATGAGTATCTTGCGTTAGTCTGTTGAATATCAGAGACAACTGCGCTGCTATATGCATCATACCTTGAGTTGCTTTACAAGAAGTTCATAATCATGTATCTCCTGTGCCATTGCATCCATCTTCACTTTTGAATTTGCATCCGCAGATAGTGCAACTTCTAATTTTGGAAGAAGATGGCCCAAGACTTCTCCACAGCTGTTACATAAAATATAATGTGTAAATGATCAATGATCAACGATGACCCAAGAACTTGCATCTTCACTTTTGAATTTGCGGTTCAAAATTGTACCAATGGACTCTTTAGGACTAGATATGTAATATGATTGTAATCCAGCTTTTGTTCTTCACTGGTGGAAAGTTTCATTGGTTAGAACTTAGAAGGAAAGCAGGTACGAAGCAAACAAAAATATGATGCCATTGCCACTGACAGAAAGTAACTTCATCAGGACACTATAACAACTCGAAATAACTTGCAGTCAACAAATAAAATCCGAACCCTGTATTAACTATTAAAATCTGATAAGACCAAACTTTGAAAAGGAAACTTCACAGTAACCATAGAAATTTGTTTGATTAAAAAAAACGAAAAGAAAAGCCATAGAAATTTGTGATGAAAAAAGCCTTATGGAGCAACAAATATGGTGCATAGTGATGTTCTAACACACTTCCCAAAGTAATGAAAATCCAGAGGCAAAGACCAAGGATTTTTAAATTTATATCACAAAAGTACCTAGTGTCAAGAAATGATGTTAACTCGCTGTCTCGGTCATTTGAGGAAAACATAGTATTTTGTGACCTCTCCTTGTCTTCAATCAATTCATCTACCCTTCGAAAAAATGTGGAGGCATTTCTTGTTGACATATCCAGCTCTCTCCTGAGTTCCTCATTTTCTTTCTCCAGAGACTCGATAGTTTTCTCTGCATTCTGAAGCTCCCCAATCAATCTACTCATTTTATCAGTTAAATGAAAAGCTTCTTCCTGAACTTTCTTCTTAGTTTCTAAGTAACGCTGYTCCATGGCCACCATATCCAATTTCATACTCTCGATTTCACATTGAGACTCCAATGTCATGGACGAGATGGACTCTTCGAGTTTTTCTATATTGGAATTTGATTCTTGTAGCTCCTTTTCCTTGCCATCTAATTTCTGCATCAAGAAGAGGCACTCTGATTGCATACGCTTCACCTCTTCCTCTAACCTGCCAGCCTTTTCTTGCAAACGCTCCATGTGAACTAATTTAAATTCTAGGTTTTCAACGTGGTCTACAAGGCAGTTCAATTCTGTGTTCCTTGTACATAGTTGATCCTGCAGGTAATCTGTGATGAATGTCGTGTTGGGCTAAGTTAAAAAAGAACTCGCAAGAATATCATGTCAGAAATGGAAGATAGCATGATGCCACAGACATCAAGACCATGCCAGAAATTCAACAATCACCATTTTCTTATAATCATTAATGTTTCTAAAATGCAATAATATTCCTTAAATGAACTCTCAATCCAAATGATCATTTAGGCTAGAAAAGACTATCCACGTTAAGAAATGACTTCAAAATTAAGAGAAAAGTAGGAGTCTTCGAAAGAAAATCTTGACCACTAATCTATAAAAAAAAACAAATAATTTGATAATTTAATAATATTGCTAAAGTTTCAGGGATATTAGAAGAAATGTTCAAAACGGGGTGAGAAGGGATGAGTGCTAAACCCCCAAAGCCTAGGAGCTTACAAGAAAAAACAACTCTTCAAATTGACTTTAAACAAAAAAGCAGGGTAGCTACAGAAGTCTACAGTAAACACCATCTAATAACCACAAAATATATGTTTTTCCTCAGATCTTCCCCATACCAAACACAGAAAGTTCTGTTAGTCTTTGCTGCTCACAATGTCCAGAGTACAGATAGCACAAAATCACACAAATAATCTTTCTGCGCATTATAATAATGATAATAATAAATCACTTCCTTAACTCCAAGTCTTAAGCATTTGTCTGCATATAATTGGTTAAAAAGGTGATTTAAGTGCTAAATAGGATCAAGATTTCATAGTGACTGTTTACTGTATCAAAATTAAGGGAACGTAATCTTTCGGATAACTTCCGCCTTCCGCAGAAAAAAGTCGCATGTGTCTTTCAATTCTATATCCATTTAAACATAACCTATTGAGCTTTCATAAATTATGTTATTGTCTCTATGTCTTCAGCTGATGTTAAATGTTAATAAAAGTCCGTTTTAATAAGCTCATTGATAAGATAGACTTATCAATTTAGCCTATAAATGATTATAAAAGGTTCCTCAAATGTTCTTTCACAGTTTATAAGAGTCCAAATTAGAAGTGCTCTCGAACATGCTACATTACAGACAACTTCCTGTACCTATTTCCTGTGAGCAGTTTGTCAACTCCTTCTCCAAGTTTTCAATGCGTAGCTTGTCTTCCTTGCGTGCTTCTGATAAAGAGTTTACATGTAGTTCCAGCCGCTGCGTCAGACAAAGTAAAAAATCATAAAGTTCATCTGGATGATAATGAAAACATCTACATTATGTATCAAGTGCTCATTTTAGATAAATTGACTAAGCACACAAAAGGACTATGAAGTGACAATCTAAAACAGTCTTGATTTACTAAAGTCATCCAAGGAGCTGCTGAGGAGCTGAACAAACATCAAGCATATAAAAGATTATTTGTCACATTCTGCACAGTAGGGGGGGAAGAAAACGTTCGGGATAAACCTTACCCTTATCAGTTCAAAGCTTTGAGGTCGTGAATCTTTTAGTGTGTCCTTTTCTTTCTTTAGCTGCATAAGTGAAAATGATAACAATTGAAGAAACAGATTAAATAAGATAGAAAAGGTCCTAAGCCATCAAAATTCTCCAAACATACAAGACACGTATAATACTTGAGAATAACGAAACCTAGTAGCCAGCACGCAAGGAGATGAAACTAGTTAATGACCATTACTCGAACACTAATCTCTTCGCTTAAAAAAAAATTACTTTATGTCCAAGCTTGAGCCAATATTACTTAGCAACGATGTTACGTCAGGAAAAAATCATGAATTGGACGTGAAATTATACGGGTCGCAGAAAGGATATTTCCTCGAACTGGAAGCAATCACTTCCGGTCATTATGATTCCTAATCTCCCGTCAAAAGAGAAACATTCAGCAAAAAGACAGAAATTATACCTGCCGACATCTTGACTCAATCTCTAGAAGTTCCTCTAAATCAGAAGAACTATAGCTATTGCTCCTGCGGCTCATGGTGTAAGAGAATCCTAAAGAAATGCACAGGGCAGGGCGAGTACCTGGATATCTAAAACTATCAGAAGACATCAAAGAAAATCGAACGACAGCAAAAGAATAAAGGAAAAAGACAACAAAGTTTTCATTCCTAAATGGGAATCAACAGTGTCAATTTCAATTTTCAGAAAAAGGTCAGCAGCAGGGGAAAAAGATGAATTATACTTCCATCAATTTCCTGCTAACAGACGTTAGAGGTCCAATTAAAGATGAAGGGTTCAGTCAATTCATCGCAACAAGCCAAAAAAACCTTTAACAAATTTCTAGAAATTTTAACCAAGTAATCCATACGCAAAGAATATTGAACATTGAACATTGAACAATACTTTGCTTTTATCTACCGGAAGCTTAACATACCTTCGCGAAAGCGAACTTTATCCTCGCAAGGGTCACCTGAGAAAAACAAAAAATTTTGTAATTTCGGATCGATTATGAGAGAAACGGCTTGCAAAATGTAAAAGGAAGAGAATTTGAAACCTCGAAAACAATTCAACCACAGTCAAAAAAAATTGATTTGATTTCCAATTCCAATCATGGTCGGGTCCATTGTCCGCCAAAAATGGCGGAGATTTCAAGCTGGCATGACGGTGGAATTGAATTGAACTGATTTGGGCCGGTTCAGAAGCCCAAACACACGATAACTTTTTTTTTTTAATTAAAAATTGGACAATTATTTATTTTAAATAAATAAAATGTTTCTTCTCCCACTTTTTTACAACGGTCTCTTCTACTCTCAAAATTTTAATAGTGGTGAGCAGGAAAGTGTTTTTTTCCTCTTTTTTTAATTTCGAGTTATTATTAAAAGTTTGCATTATATGGTATTTGCTATATGCCTAGTTTAATATCCGAATATCCCTCTAATATTTAGAGACATTATTATATAAGCTTGAAAATGTGTCATGTAGGAGTGAAAAGTTCATTTAGGTTTTACAAAAAGGAAAAATAAAAATTGAATGTATATGTTTATTGCACACAAGAAATTATCTAAAATGTTTTTATTTATTAGTCTAAAAAATGTTATAGTGGCTTAAGAAAACTAATACCATAGAATAGAAAGTCACCAGATTGTTGGAGAAAATAATGTTATGCATTATACATTCTTATAACTCTTTAATTTCTTGAAGGTTCAAGAAACTAATTCATTCACTCCACCTCCCAACTCATCTAATTCAACTGCTTTCGTAATGCTTATATCAATTGAAAAAGATTAAAATTGTTTCAATCAAATTAAGTGATTTTTTTTATTATTCATAATAGGTAGAAAAATGTAATAGTTTCTTTAATTCGAATTCCTTTTATTTATGAAATTTGAATTGCCTTTAAAAAGATATCCATATTGACCTTAGGTTTTTTTCAATATAAATAAAGGGTAAAGACGTATGCTACAAGATTATATGTTTTACTATGCTTTATGCAAAGTATATGTAGTTAGCACAACCGTTTTAACATCGTAAATACAAAAGAAGAAGATTCAAAATTCAAAATTCAAACTTTACCATGGTTCAACTTAAAATAAATAGTTATTATTATATCTCCAAATAAAGTCATACAATTTAATGCTTGGGTCATGTTGGCAAAATTTTACAAAACAAAACTTGCTATTTTTTCCTTAATTATTTGATAAACCCATTTTAAATGCAAAAAATAATAATAAATTCATATAACCAAACCATGCCACTTGATTGACCCCAATACATAGTGGGTTGGCTCCATTTGTCCTACCCATATAGAATAGTTTATTTGAATTTGAATTCATAATAACACCATTAAGTGTAGTTAATTGATTAAGGTAAAACATCAGTCTACAACCAAACAATCTAACCAATATCAATATCAACATACAATCTAACCAATATCAACATCAACATCAACATCAACGTCTTCATTTCCGTCCTCATTCGCATTCAACCAAAATTACATTTAAAAGTTCAACTGTCTAACACATATCAACTACAAAAAGATCATTTAGAGACATATCAACGACCAAAAAATCATTAAAAAAACATACTTCCCATAAGTACCTAATTACATGCAGAGTTACTTAATCAAAAAATATATATATGCATCCAACACCCAATGACGGACAATGTGTAACCCTATTGGAAGTACTTAAATTAATGCGGCAAAAAAGTTAATTAAACATCTTAGGTTCTAAAGATTTGAAAAGAAACTTTAAAATCTAGGTTGTTGCTCAATTAATAGCTTTTATTGAATATGACCTATTAAATTATTGGACTAAATTTTCTTAATTTTCCTACTTATTAATACCTAGACTTTCATATTTATTTCATAAACATAAATTTTAGTCGTTCACCTTCATAAAAAATAGTTTGGATCATTGTTATGTTAGTTAGACTATTGTTAGATAGAATTTTGACCGACAACTAAAATAAACTTTTGTGCAAAATTTATCACTTAAAAATAAAAAGATTAAAATAAAACTAGGACCGAAATAATATTGAACTCTAAGCTAGTTTTAGTATATAAAAACATGACACTATACAGCCCAAAATGTACAAAAAGTTAAAAGTTGTATCATATGATATAAATTCTTATATTAATCATTGAGAAAATTTCAAAAGGAAAAGAAGAGAGAGAGAGAGAATTCATAATTCATCAAGTGTCGTACTAAATAGTTATATAGCAAGTTCAAGAAAAAGAAGGAAAAATGAAGACATGAAATTTCTGCATTTTAAAGATTTCCAGATCCAAACGTAGATGAAAAGATTGAAAGTTTGAATCAACAAGTTCTTGAATTAAAAAAGAAAAAAAAAATCCCGTTCTTCCCCTTTCAAAGTTTGCAAATTCATGTTCCAATGATAAAATTTGAGTTTCTCAGAAATTATAACAAAACATCATATTGATTCAAAGGTATTATCAATTCGATTCTGAAACCCGTAAAGAATCAATGAATCGTAACGAAAGGTAAGGCTGTACTGTACAATGTCCGAAGCCGCAAGCGATGAAGGACTCAAAGTCAGATCAAACCTACCAATGCCTGCTCGTGCTGATGGCTGCCGCCGGCGCCGACCCACCAGGGCTTGAGGGAACCCAAATGGCTGTTGCCCTCTTCTTCGATTGGCGCCGGAAGATTCAGATCCAGGTAGTCCCTTATTTCTGCCTGTGGTTCCGGTTTCTGAATCGCCGTCGTTTGTGGGAATTTTTTTCTGGACTCTGACCCACCGATCAAGTGGGACCTCTTATGGCCGCCCAAAGCTTGGCCTGAACTAAAAATTTTGGAGCAAATTGAGCATTGGTGATGCTTTCTGTTCTTTTTCTCATACCCCATGTCTGATTCTTGCTGATTTTCCATCTCTAAGACTGTGATTGTGGGATTACTTTCAAAAGTTGGGTCGTTAGAAATCTCTGTTTCGATGCTATTTTCACTGCTTTCTGTCTTTGAGACCAAGCATCCTTTGGTCTTCTTGTGGCTGGCTCTATGCCCACCAAGTGCCTGATATGAGTGAAAGATTTTGTGGCAAGAATTACACTGGAATTTGCTTCTCTTTTCTCTGATTTTGTATGCTTCTGAGTTCAGATAATGGGGTGGTGATCTTCTGTAGGAGTTTGACCTCAGTTCCTGATTGGAAAGCTCATGAAACTTTCTCTGATCTGTACTGAACTTGCTGGAAATGAACTGAGGTTGATTGAACTCTGTTCGGTTGTTGGAACTTGACCCAAATCTGTCAATTTGCTGAGACTTCTCATCGTTCTTGCTCACCTTGATAACAGAAGCACTGAATTCTGAGTTTGACCCTTCAAATTTGAGATACGCAGAATCCATCTCGCTGAGCTCCATTTTTCTGCTGTGAAATTCTCTCAGTTTCACCATCTTACCACTTATGCATACAGTTGGAATAGCTTCAACAGCTTTGGAGAAGTGAATTTTTGGAACCAGAGATGGAACTTGCTTTGGCATAGAGTCGTTGTCAGATGACTCAGTGGTTGAATAAAACCCACCCACATCTCTAGAAAGCATCATTAAACACAAAGCAACCTCTTCTTGTTCTTGATCATTCTGATCAGAAACAGATGAAGAAGCAGCAGCACCAAATGAAAAGGAAGATGAAGTATCAGCAGCCATGTACCTTGTTTGTCTTCTAGATCTCTTCCCTCGATTTGCAGCTGCAATTTCACTGTCTGATTGGCTATCCAACTCCAAATTACTAGACACTCTCTCAGTTTCTGTCGAGTGACATTTCATGTGGCCAAACAGGGCCTTCCAAGACTGAAAGCTTCTACCACATTCTCTGCAAAATCTGTCCTCGGCACTAAAATCAGCAAGCCTGCAAGTCTTTTTGGGGTTCTTCCTAAGACTATAACCATCAGAAAATCCATCTCCCAGAAAATTGTCCATGCCAGAGTTGCTTCCAGCTTTTTTCAAATTCATCTTCCTCAGATTTTCACCAGTTTCAGCTTGATTGTTTATCAAATGGGACCTCATATGACCTCCCAAAGATCTCCCGCAGGGGAAGCTCCTGTTGCATAACTTGCAGAAGTGTTTCAATACTCGATCAGCCTCCATGGACAAGAAAACTAGAATTCAAGGAAGAAGCAGTAGAGAGATCTAAAATCCAGCCAACCAAAGCTCAGAAATGGAAATAATTGAAAAGAAACAAGAAGACCCAGATCAAATAATTAAAGTGGGGAGCTCAAATTTAGTGAGTAAAGTGATAAACTCCACCAGAGCAGAGCAAGCTTGATGTTTTCTTTTCTTTTATGTTTTTCCTTTTTTTGATCTGATGACAGAAAACCCATCTCAGATTTGATGAATTCTAGTCATGGAGAAAGAACAGGATCTGATGCACAAAAGGTGGAAAAGGAAAGCTTGGTTAATGTAGTTCTACTACCTTTTTCTCTCACCACTACCTTCTCTTGGGCAGTTGAAAGTTTTAAGGGAGGCAAATAAAAAGAAAAGGGAAAAAAGGCAAATTGTTAGGAGTTTGCGGAGGTGCTACTTTATTGCTAATGATGGAGCTGAACAAAGCATGGAGGAAAAATTAAGAGGGGAGCAAGAGAAGACTCTCCCTTGTTTGTTCTGTGTGTGGTGTGGACTATGTTGGGAGGAGAAATCCATGCATGAAAGCAAACTCATAAAGAGAGAGAGAAATGGGTAAATAAGAAGAAAGCAAAGCAAGGAGCACGTGCACCAACTGAAGTGACCCACAAATCCAATGGCCCAAGATTTGTCCTGCTTACTGCTCACTATCCCTATGGTTCAGGAACCTCCTAAACTAACTGTCTTCCTAACAATTCCTTCCTTTGTCTTCCTCTAAAGGAACTGCATCTCTCTCTCTCTCTGTGGGCCTGTTGTTCATCATTTGGACTTATCTCTCCCCTTTTCTTTATTATTTACCATCCAAAGTGACAGGTTTCAAATGGAGCAGTTCAAAATTGGTTGAGGGTACACCGTTCAACCAACATGATTATATGGCATAGTTTAAGATCATAAATTTAAGTCCTTTATACGTCTTATGTGACACATACTCCAGTTGTATATACCAAACTTTTGAACCACTTTACGTCTTATGTTCAAATTCATTAGTGCATGGGAAAAAAGTGTAACAAGTGTAGAATGATAGAAATTGGAAGGGCATGGAGTTGAATTAATATTTACTTGATGTGAACCACCTTTTTTTTCTCTGTGGGCTGAATGAATAGTCAATGTTGCTTTGGAAACTTGAAACCACAATATCGCAAGATTGAACATGGAAAGCACCCTGCCTTTTGGGATGCAGATCTTCTCTCTTGAATATATAAATACTTTTTCTTTGCATAAATCGTAATTTCCACTTGTTAAAAAATTGTTTTAGAAGTTTCTAAAACAACTTTTCTTTTTTAACTCATGCTCCTATTAGGTTAGTAATTTTTTTTCCTAATAGTTTAACAACTCCTCATTGGTGAACAGTAACTTATGAATCATATCAAAAATTTCTATTTAAAAAATAATTCTTGAAAATAAGTCTACAGTAAAAAGCCAAAAATAGTATATGGTAATTAGATAATTTTTAGTGCTACTCTCGTGCGAAAAATTCTCTAAACTCGAAAGAACTTAAAGGACATTATACTTGTACAGTTTTAAGTCTTTTAATTTTGATTTCATCCCAAATATTTCATATCGAAAGTCCAAACATCTGAAAAACCATAGCTTTTTTTCATGGTCAAATCGTAGATCTCTCTCTTCTCTCTCTCTAGAAAAAGCCGGCTTTTGTTAAAGAGGTGGCCGGCTTGCTTGGCATTGGATACTAAACTTCATTAGTCAGTAATTAATAATGTCAGTGTCTTACTAGCTGCAAACAACCAAGCATTTGGCTTAAACACAAAGAATAATACTCAGAACATTTCTAGTACCACATGATTATTAATACTTATTACATTCATTGTTTGTCTTCTCACCATCGTAATAAAAATAACGTGGAGTCCACCAACATTCAAAAATTATTTATTTTTGATAAAATTCTAATGTAAATAAAGGAAGTATGGTACTGCCATAGTACTAGATCTTTTCTTGAATAATACTTATCCCTAACAAAAATTTCTAATGGTACGCAAATATTTACTTCCTCCCTTCATAATCTTACATATCATTAAGTGATAATTATTTTTTTTTTTCATGGGGCAAAGTTCACGCACACCAAACAGTATGGGCTCTTATTAACCTATTCATTTTTATTAGTTTTTTCGACTACATTTAATAGATAAGTGAATCCCATTAAAATTTTTTGCTCGTAAGAATCTACCACATCATAAAATCATGATAGGAGTAATTTTTTTTAAGTACGACGTAAAGAAGTGGAGGTTTGAACACGATTTTTTAGTCGACGATGCATGTTATAATCAGACTACTAGTGTAGGCAAGTGTTTTTTCCCCTCTTTTACCCTTTTGCTGCCACTTGACTTTGATTCTAGGCTGTTACTTGTCTCTTTATATCAGCTCAGCCCCTCCTTCAATTCCCCTTGTTTTGATCTTCGACCCTTGTAACAAGTGGGAGATAAATGGATCCATCCAACTTAAAAATAAAATAAAAGTTACAAGAAACAGCATATGGGTTGCTTTGAAAAACAGTGTATAAATATTTATTCCAAAGGGAGAATTGCATCCACATCTCCAGGTATTATTTTTGCAGCCAAACTGTGATGATCAAATCATTCATCTTTTCTTCTCTCTCTTACCTTCTCTTTATTCCATCATTGGAGAGAGACAACAAAAGGAGAAATGGGGTTTCACTGATATTTTCTGAAAACACCATAACTTGTACTACTGGAAACAAAGATGGAGATGGATCAAGTCTTGGCTTTTGTTTTGTGGGTCACATCACATCTCAACAAGGTCAAGAAACTGTTGCTTTTGGAGGGTTGGCTTTGGAGTAAAGAAAATTTGGGTTTCAAAAGTTTATGCTCCTCAAAATAATTTCACTATATTCTATGCTATACCATACTCCTTCAAAGGAAAGATTGGCAATTCTTCCCTCCTTGTCTTTATATTATAATGAACATCAATAATATAGACTCGGATAAGATGCTCTCCTTTGGCTTTATGCTTTCCCAACCCATTTCACCTCTTATTTTGCTCCACAATATTTTAAAGCCCGATCGCACACCGGTTAACAAATAAAACGAGAATAGCTGGAGAGATCCCATGAAGTCGATCCATCTACGTTGTCTTTATCGTCCCAAAGTAAGGGTTTCAMAATCTAATAAATTAGGCCTCTTATGCATTTTGTAGAGTGAGCAAACTAGTGCTATCTCACTTTATGAAGTGCTTGAAGAAGATAATAAACTGATGGGAAAATTGTATAACAAGAACAAATTGGTAGGCCCCAAGTTCTTGGGATAAACAATAATGTGGATTTATTTTTGAAGATTAGAGCATCTTAATCCACCATTAGATAGCCTTTGGTTATTTCTTGCTGTTTGGCTAACAAAGCCAGAGGGCACTGTATAGAAGAAGACACCTTATCCAAAGGAATATGGGTCGATCAATGCAAAAGTTTGATTACTACAAAACAGAATAGCTAACCTGCTTACTATAAATTAAGTCATAATCAAGGACCCAAAACAATTAAATTAATAAGTAAATGAATGATGAAAATTTTGTTTGCTAATTGTTATTCAAACCCTTCAGTGGCCAATGCCTTGACAATACAATATATAACATTTAAAACTTATCCAAATAGAAAGTAATCACCTAGATTTCTCCTTAAAAGAAAATATTAGCTTCATCATAGAACTTAAAAACAATGTTACAAACAAAAGCACTTTCTAGCTTTTTTGGATTCACTACTTCGCTAGTGATTCAAAATAGAGAGAAGAAAAATAGCATATCCAAGTTAAAGACTTGACTTGGGAGAGGACTTAAATAGAATCTAACAAGATGAATATCAACGTAGCCGCATATTTTGTATAAAAGTCTATCTATTTCAAGTATTTGCTGCATGAAAATGACGTAAACATTCGATTCACTCATATAATTTACAAACGTATACATCTACCGTGCACGTATTCTATATGTACATACCACAAATCTTTAGAATCTAAGATACCTTCAATTGTGGCCATATGAAGTCCCATGGAATTGGTAAGCCTAAAAGTTCAGAGTTAGGCCAAAAGAAGGATTCCAAAAGATTTTTAAAATGTCATGTGGAAGGTGACATGACACCAAAATGAGCAAGGAACCAAAGCCAAAGCCAAAATGTGTATGCATTGGCTTGAGAATATTCTAAGACTAAATAACATAGTTATCCACATCTCACAGTGAAACAGAAAACAAGTGACTTTTTCCATTAGAATCTTAATTTAATCTACAGACAAATCAAAGCCTAACAGTACAAAGCAGTTAGCTGTTAAAGGACAGATCTACTATTTATAAGTAATGTGTCTCCTACCTTGAACCATGATTGTGGAATCTCAAGTAGCTTCCAATGAAATTGCATTTCAACAATGTAATTAATGAATGAATATTTAGCACTATGTAGGCAGAACGTGAATCCCCTTTCCACTTGGAAAGTGAGCCAAAACACTAAATTAGTGGCTAAACATAATCAGGCAGGTGAAACATCATTGAAATTTTACTGCTCTCACCACTATCAAAAAGAAAACTCATTACCTTTACTTCTATATATTTGATTGGACAGACCAGATTTGTTTGGAGATAAAAGCACCCAGAGACTGTAATAGATTTAGAGGCACTGTTCCAAGTTTTAAGTACAAATGTAAAGACTTGGATCTGTTTCTAAAAGGACAAATTCTCAAGAATGGGCTAAGGGTAGTTTTTTCTAGTGTCCTTTCTGGAAGTTACATTTTGAACTAACTTTTTAAGTTGGCTTTCAAAAATGAAATTCATGGTCATGGAACTCAGCATCCACTTGCTTCTTGAAAGTAAATAAAGAACTACAATTTAAAGTCA